AAAAAGACAGCAAAGACGAATGCAACCGACCAGATACAGAAGCGATGGCAAGATAAACTGCTTCATGGCCAATACTCTGCCCGTACCAAGCAAGCTGACGTAGACAAAACCCGTACCCATCAGTGGCTATGTAGTGCAGGGTTGAAAGCTGAAATGGAAGGTTTTATTCTTGCTGCACAGGACCAATGCTTATTAACTAGGAATTATCAAGCACATATACTAAAATATTGTGTCAGCCCAAAATGCAGATTCTGTGATAAATATCCAGAAACGATTGATCATCTTGTATCAGGTTGCACGATATTGGCACCCACTGAATATAAAACCCGGCATGACAGAGGGGCCAATATCTGCACTGGAAAATTTGTAACTTCTACGGAAGGAAACTGAAAGAAACTGGTATGAACACCACCCAGATCCAGTTACGGAGATAGAACCTGTTACAATTCTATGGGACTACACAATACACACTGACAGAGCAATCAAAGCCAACCGCCCAGACATTGTTATTAAAGACCACAAACAAAAACGGTGCCTCCTTGTTGATATGGCAGTCCCTGCTGACTGCAATGTATCTTTGAAGATATTCAAAAAGCTGTCAAAATACAAGGACCTTGAAATGGAAATCTCAAAAATGTGGCATATGGGAGCATCAACAATCCCTGTTGTAGTTGGAGCCCCGGGACTGGTTGGAAAAGATTGCAGTAGACTAATTGAAGGGATTCATGGGAGTTCATGCCTCAAGGAGATACAAAAAATTGTTCTGACAAGTACAGCCCACACTTTACGAAGGGTATTATCTATGTAATTTTTTTGTCAGTGGAAAGTGTCATGATGTCATCTCTAACCTTAGGTCTCTAGGCGGGACCTGGAAAGAAATGTGTAAACGCCAGAAATCAAAGAAAATAAAAATAATAATAGTAATAATTATCGTCCCAGATTACAGGGATTAGCAGAAAGTTGTAGCGAACCATGATTGTCCACTTCCGGAAAAGACATGCCACATACCGACGCGTAATGTGAGAGTGTAAGAAAAAGATTAAGAGAGAAAGAGAAAGAGTGAAAGCTGGGGAATTAATGATGTTTCTGCTCCAAAGTCGTTTAGCTTTTTTTTCTCTCTAAAGTCTAGAATTGCACTGAAATTTTGGAGGCATGTAATGAGGAAGGAGAGTTTGGAAAATCTGATACTCACAGGACAGATTGAGTTGAAAGAGGGACAGAGGAAAGCAGCACGTAACGTACTTGATGTGCTTGAGTAAAGGGAGCTACAAGGGACCGGAAGATGTGGAGGGCTATGATCGCTTACGTTCTGAAGGGGCATAAAAGACGAAGCATTGCATATAAAGAGTTAAATATTTAATGGATGATATCTTCACGTTTTTAAAAATCTATGTAAATTCTTCAATTTCTGTAAATTTCTGTAAATTTCTGTAAATTCTTCAATTTCTGTAAATCCTTATGGGTTTATTTTGTCCGCTAATAAAATTATTCATTAAAAAATTCATTTGCAAGAAAATATTTCCTTTAATGTAAACGAACCCTCCTTAATTAATTTAATGAAATCAACAGTTAATTACCCGATACGCGTAATAATTTTACATGATTTGAAAAGATAATTGCCGAAAGGAATAAATCCTACTTAATTTATTTAGTAAAAGACAAAAATAAGAATAGAACCTGATTAAATTGAAAAGATTGTCCAACATTAGAAGCGACAAATAAATCAGTATTTTTGTTTCAACTTTTGATGGCTTTATTTGTTAAATTATATTTTAAGCTGGATCTAATTTGAAAAATATTTATGCAGAAAATGTTTATATAGAAATTTTCAAAGAAAATTCCGATCGATTTTTTTGTAAACGCAGTAAAAGTTGAATTTTATTCTCTAAAACTGAACACAAAGGGAAATATTAAATAAATATTATTAAATTGAATTGTAGCGATGCTAAAAAATTTAAATAAAAAAAGAATGAATTAATTATGAAAGATTTAACGTTCAAATCTTCTGTACTTTTGATAATTTGAAATTAAGGCGGGTTATATTGATGTACGGAATAGATTGATACACGACATATTTCTGAAATGGAAGCGTCTATTTCTTTCCAAGTGACACCAGCGCATGCGTATTTAAAACTTCCTGCTTCATCCCGGTTTACAAGTAAAAACTCTGCGAATCGATAAAGTTTTACCCAAATTTGTTAAAAAATTCAACGATTTTAGCGTGTTATGTAAAATACTTTTGTTCTAATTTTTTTCTAAGTCAAATTCATTTACAAATATGTTTATGCCTTTGCAATATAATAAAATACTATCATGTTTTTTTAACTGAGTCCACTGATCAAAGTTTGGTACCAAGTCTTTGAAAATTTACTTAGGTGGTGGGGTAGATTGATGCAAGAAAGTGGGAAAGCGAAACTCTCAAATCTTACGTGGGGGCGGAAGGAGGCAAAAGAATGGAAAGGGCAAAGGGCAAAGGGCAAAGGGGAAGGAAAGAAAGCACCTGTCGGCAAAGGAAGGGAAGGAGCAAAGTATTAAAATTCAAATGCAGATGAGTGGGACTGCATTTTTTGTTGTGGTGCGTATGAAAACTCTCGGTTTGGGAGGAGTGGATTCAATGAACAATGCACTGATTTGGGGTGAGGAACTTTATTTTTATTTTTTTATTTTGTACAAGGATGCGAATGAATAGATTATGATTAGTAACTATACAGGCTGCAATGGTTAAATTGTCACCATTTCATATTTTAAAATTCGCGCATGCCTGTTGATTGCCTTTGATTTTGTCAACTACACAATATAGTAGATTCAGTTGGGCACCATCTGCGAGAAAAATAGCATCATGACGCAATTGACTCCGTCAGAAATTTGGAAACGGTATGCTGTACTGCTTGGCATTCGCACCGGAAGCACTAACACGAATAATTTAGCGTGTTTGGGTGTCAATCTGAGAACAGTGCACATCATGGTGTTTGGAGTGATCACTAATGATGGCGACGTTATGCCTCCACTCATCTTCCCACAGGCTCCCAGACTCAACACGGAGGCCTACATCAAGTGCCTTGAGGAGGTATTGCTGCCCTGGGTACAGGGGATGGCCGCTGGAAGACCCTATGTCTGAAAACAGGACTCTGCTATTATCACTAGTGTCCTAACTGCATGAATTTAGGCGTGCTACTAGGTTGGCATCTCGGTTCCACCCTTTCACTGATGAAACAGTTAAATGTAACCGCCTCTTCTAGTCCAACGTCTTATTTTCTCCCACTTCCAGACAGTGCAACTCCCATCCTCTTATTTGCTTCCCTGATAGCTATAATCTAAATCTAATGTCAATCGATATTTTTGATGCCTAGATACTGATCTCCGTCCTTCTCGTCATCTTTTCCTCAAACACTCCTCTTAACTCTTACTTTCACTCACTGTAAAGCCTTGCTTAATAAAATAAAATAAACAAATAAAATATATAATTAAAAAAAAATTGTGCATAAAATTAAAAACAAAACACATTTTGGTATTTTAATATTGTAATAATCCTATAAAAATAAACATTTTTGTAAAAATTTTTCCAGACATGTAAGAAAAAATAACGTGTGTATCTATCTCGAGGGTGTGTTTGTATATATATATATATATATATATATATATATATATATATATATATATATATGCGTTAGTATGTTTCTGCATCTCTTTCTGTGAATTTTTAGTTTCATTTATTGTACGTTTTTGATCACTAATGCTGACTGATATATTTCCTCAACATTACTCCAGTCACACTCCTCACTCCAACCATCCAGTCGACGAGTTAAAGATGCCACTTTCTTTGATTTTCGCCGACTTTAACTCGGGCTAAATTTCATTTGCCCGACTTTTCAATTGATACATTGCACCAAAAAAAAAAAATAAATAATACTTTGCGGAATAAATTATTTAAAATGAACATTTGAAAACAATAACTTTAAATAAAATTGTGCTTTTTGAAAAACACGGCATAGAACTCATTAGATATTTTAAAAAGCTTATTTATAACATATATTGCCTATTAAGTATGTTTCCAGTTTGAAAAGTCTCACATCTACGCAGCCCAACCTAGCCACGTTACTTTTATTTAATTCTTTTACCTATTTTCTTTCTTTATTTTCTTACTTTCTTCGTTTTTTTATGAACAATATCGACGAAATCTATTTCGGTCAATATTTTGAGGTACGGAGTTAAAACAATTAATTTTGGATACAGCTGAAGTCAAGAAGGAAAACGAAGCACTTCGAAATATTTTTGTTGCTTTGAAATAGAATGTTGATTAACTCGGACTTAGCCCGAACCCCGTAGTCGCCGCTGGCATTTGGCATGCTGATAGAAAAGTTTAATATTAAAAAAACCCAAAAAAACTGCATTTTATTCATTTCAAAGTAGATTCAACAAATGGCCAACATTCTGAAGTATACGTTTGCCAAGTTTCAGCTCAATAAACAGAGCTGTTGTTGTTTATCGTCAATTAGGAAAAAGATTGCATCAACGTACCCCACCGTACCCTATTAATCTACAATTTGCTTCATGCAACCTAACAACCTGTCTCTTAATAGATTAAAACAGTTGATCGTAGTCGGGATCATCGAATAAATGCGAACGATCCTTTCCTTAGCTGCACTGTATATGCTTCACCAGGGCTACATACTGTTTTGAATTTAGAGTTTTCCTTCTCCTAGACCGGTTGTCACTTAAGGCCTTAGAACCCAGTCTGTCCTACTGTTTACCGTTAGCTGGGAGAGAAGAAGACACGGATTCATACCTTGCTAAGAGTATTAGGAGCTAAGTGAATGTAATGAACTCGATTGGAATTCGAATTAGACTCTCCGATTCTTCAAACCGAGCAGCAATCCATGACTCTACCGTATCTCTTAGGTTAAACCGTTGGTTAGAACATATCTAGTTACCTGGCATTTGCGAGTTCAATCCCTGGTTCTGATAGAACTGAACATTCACATATACTGTTTCAGTAAAAGAAACAGACAAGCAGCACGCATGTAAATAAAACTGGTAAGTATTAATTGATATGTGTTATTTCCCCAGAACGTGAAAAGCAGAATGAGAGCAATTTATCTCTGTGATTTGAATAAAGTGTTTCGGTCTAAATTTTTAGAAGGTTTCAAATACGATGACAGATTATAACAGACAAATTTCGCCTGCTCCTTTGAATAGTAAATATATAATTCTTCATCTAGGATATTCAAACAATTTTATTTATTGCATTTTTATGCACATTGAATTAAATATCATTTCTTTTAATCACAAGAATTTTCTGTCATTTATAGATTGTAAGAGTTTTTTTTAGATAATAACGGTTTAGTGATACAAGCATTACTAATTAACCCATCCCTGGGGGAAATGTATTAGTTTCATGCCTTTTCCAAAGGTATTTGTGAGTAAGTCAATATAACGAACCCAAATGGAATTTGAATTCAGCTCTTCGATTAATAATTTTGAGCCATTATCCATTACACTACCTGCACGTTCAAACTTACAACACCAGGTATTCCCAAGCCGTTACTCATCTAGGCACTGACCAGGCTCGACGTTGCTCAATTTCAGTGATCGTAAGCCCACAAAATATAATGACAGAATATAACAGACAAAATGTGATTAGAACAACCAAAATGCTGTTGCTGGTCAGCATAGTAAGGCATATAATAATTCTTCTTCATATCGAATGTTTACTGATATTTTTGTGTGCAAAGTCCTAGTAGATTAAATCATTGATTATATATTTCCCTGGCAGTAAATAAGACTGGTCAGTATTAAGTGATCTGAGTTATCTTCCCTGAGAATGACTGAGAACAATCTGCCCCTGTGGCTTGAATAAAGGGCTTTGTTCAAAATCCTAATAAGTTTATAGAGTACGAAGACAACAATTGAAGAGTTTGCTAGAATAAAGGCTAAGATGAGCAATTTGGTCCAAATAGGAAAATATCTAGTAATAATAATAATAATAATAATAATAATATTTAATCGTCTGTAAAAATGAAAATAGGCAAGTGAAACTCATGTAGGATACGACTATCTTTACTGACAAGCACTTGGAGGACAATCGCCCTGATCTCAAACTTTAGCACAAAAGTAGACCTAAATTGTCTCTTACTGATGTTGCAGGTTTAAGTATAGAGGAGCCAAAATCTGAGAGGGAAAATTCTCAGAAATCCTTCTGTTAGACAAGACGCCTTCTTTGGTGGCACTGCTTGGAACAGCTCATGTGCTGTAGAAGTGAAAGTATGGCGGGTAGGAACTGAGATATGATCCTCAACACCCGGCCAAAACATTTAAGTGTCGAAAGGAATATCAAATAATAATAATAATAATAATAATAACATCGTGAAGTCAGTGCAGGTTAAAACATATGATGCAGACCAACAGAAAACACGTTAGTGGCCGAGGAGCACTGGACTGAAAGATGAGACAGAAAGCCCAATTATTAGAGCTCAGGACCAAAGACTCGCAACCAGATCCTATCATTGTCACATAATTCAAGGATGGAACTAACCCGAAATGCAGGATCTGCGGAAAATATGATCAAACAGTCGACCATATTATCTCAGGATGTCCAGAACTGGCAAAAAAAATGAATATACCCATAGACATAACAAGGTAGCGACATATGTGCACTCAAAGATATGCAAGAAGCACAAAATCGAAACCACTGAGAGATGGTAGGCCGATCAACCAGACACAATTACCCAAAATAACGATGTAACTATCCTCTGGGACATGTAAACTAACAGGGAAATAAAATCCAACACAACTGATATTATCATAAAAGACAAGAAATCCCGGAAGTGAATGCTTATTAACATAGCAGTACCATCTGTGAGAAACACCCCCATAAAAATTATCGAGAAGTTGTCCAAATACAGGAACCTGGAGATCAAGATGAAGAGGATGTGGGGAATGAAGACTGAGACTATACCAATAGTAAGCGGGCCTGGCGAGAAAAGGAGTGGAAAATTTTTACTAATAGTGTCCAGGTAACATCAACATATAAGTTGCCCAGAAAATATCCCTACCAGAAACATCCCACACAGTAAGAAAAGTGCTATCAATTAAATGGCAATTCTCCTATAAGGCCTAAGGACCATAGTTTGGACCCAGCTTTACAGGATACAACTCAGGGAGTATAACACACAAACAACAATAATGAAAATAATGCAGTGAAGTAAGCAGGTGTGAAATGTCACCCAGATCATTAGCCGCTGTGAAATGCTTCTTTTAATCATTTCACTGGAAGCAAGTTAATAAAGACTCTAAGACTCAAGGGTAAGCTGCTCGGCCCGGGGGCAATGATCAAAGTGTGGTACGCTGCCGAGTCGGCGTCTGTCGAACTCTCTGCATTAGCAGAGAGGAACCCGGGCGAAGCTTTGCCGAAGGGCAAGGTTTCGTTCGGGGAGGTAGACAGGGCCTGAATCCGTCTAGGCGGGTTCAAAAAGGCTATATTTTTGGCCGAGACTACGGGCT